CGTTTGGTTCTAGGCTCGACAGCCAGGGGAATCATCCTTTCTATATATACACTGTCACACCCTGTAAGATTTTGAGAGTTCCAATGAGATAACCTCTCATTATTTGAAACTCTAGAAAATACAAGTCCAGTATCATCAATCTTTCCTCCATCCAATTAGCCAGTCCAAGTCTGCCTGAAACTGCCTTGCATCCCCTCACAATTTGCATTTGCACGTAGTTTTGTGCCAACTTCAAATTTGGAAATATTGGCTGGATTTTCTGAGGAGTGACAATCTTGCACGGATTGCCAGACCACCCTTAATCCACATCTCTTGCAAGTGATTCTGATCAGGGTTCATTCAGAAATGTGGTGCTTTATTTCCATTATGCGAGTTCATTCATAAGACAGAGCTGGCAGTGCAAGGCAAACTGTGCTCCCTTTCGTAGCAGTCAGTGACTGTATTCTGAAATTTAAAGGTCCAGAATCACAGACAGCCACTTTCACAGCTGCTGGCAATCAGTAAGCACATACACTTCAGATAACTGTGAGGTTAGGGTGCCAGGAGGGTAGAGCGTCAGCTGAGTAGGGTACTAGACAGGAAAGGTGCAAGCTGGTAGGGAGTAGGATGCCTAGGGATAGAATGCCAAGTGGATAGGGTGCAAGATGGTGAGGGGGGCCATGGTAGGGGATTCAGTATTTAGGGTAGGTTGAGGTGGGTGAGGAAAAACAAGGTCTGCCAGAGGCGGGTTTGAGTGGGGAAAACTGGGTTTGGCAGAGGCAGGTGTGGGTGAGTGGGAGAAATAGGGTCTGGCAGAGGCAAGGGCAGATGGATGTTGACTTGGAGGAGATTGAGTCTAGGGGTTTGTTGGCAGAGCAGAAGCCGATCTGATCTGTAATGGGGAGCAGTTCCAGAAAGACTGCATGGAGTTGAAGGAGATCAACTCTTAGGGATGAACAAGGGTCAAGGTGAAGCAGGAGAAGGAAGGATTGGGTTCAAAGCAGGTGAACATGGGATTGTCTCTTGGGTGGTAGTGAATGGGGGCAGGTCCAGAGTGGGGAAAGGGGTGTGCCTGCTGCCTGGTGATCAAGGGTTCTGGGAAGTAAAGAGGTTCGGAACTGGAGTGATTGAAGGTGAGTAAGGTTTGGAGTTAGTGAAGGATTGTATTCCTTCTGGAGTGCAATGGGGGTCATTGGGTCCAGGGTGTCACGGCAAGGTCTTGGAGTTATAAGTGGTATGTGGGGAGGAGTAGTTGTGGCTGTGTGAAGTAAATATGGGGTCACGTGAGTAGTTACTCAAAAGGTAGGCAATGTGTTTAATTATCTAATTTTTCCTAAGTAACTATTGACTTTATATAAATCAGAGAATTCAAAGGGTCCTGATTGACTAGAAACTTTTGGAGGATTTATTTGCAAAAATACAGAGGAATTGCTCAGTAGAATCTTCAATTCGCAGGCAAGTCCTTCAGAGTGTGCTGTTAAGGGGATTCTGTAGGGTTCCCATGTGCAACTCCCATCTACACTGGAAAAGCAGTTGGCTGGCCATTGGAAAATCTGGGCTGTAATAGTCAGTCCTCACATCTATGATACTTACATAAACTGTGAATGCCAGTGGCCCTAGCACTGCCCTTGCAGCACCCAAGTAGTAACTTGAATTTGAGATCATTTATTCCTACTCTCTGCTTTTTGTCTGTTGACCAATTCTCAATCTTTGCTAGTACATTTCCCCAGTCTCATATGGGCTAATTTTATATGCTAAGATCCTGTGTGGCACCTGATGAAAAGACTTCTGAAAATCCAGTCTACCACCTTCACTCTTTCTGCTTTATCTATGCTACAAGTAACAGCCTCAAAAAACTCCAACGAGACTGTCAAATGTAATTTTCCTGTCATAAAACCATGTTGACTCTGCTTAATTCTATCACTATTTTCTGAGTGTCTAGTTGCCATGTTCGTTATAAAAGTTTCTAACTATTTCCCTTCTATTCATGTCAAACTAACAGTTCCATAGTTCTTCATTCTCCCTCTCCCACCCTCCTCAAATAGTCGGCTTATATTTGCTACTTTCAAGTCTGCAGGAACCTTTCCAGAAGCTATAGAATTTTGAAAGATAATGGGCAACGAATCCTCTATCTCTGTCGGCATCTTTTTCAATATTCTGGGATGTTACTCATTTGGCCTAAGGTTTATCATTCTTCAATCCAGTTAAATTTTCAATAATTGCCAGTTTACAAAATTAATTTCTTTAAGTTGTTCAGTTCCACAAGTCCCATGGTTGCCCAGTTTGTCTGGGGTATTTTCTGTATTTTTCTCCATGAAGGCAGGTATGAAGTGATTGTTCAGTTTCTCTGCCATATCCCTATGCTTCACTGTAAATCCTCCTCTCTCCACGTGTAATGGGCCCACATTTGTTGAAGCTTTTCTGTTTCACATTCCTAAAAAAGCTTTTACAGAAGAAGAAGAAGCTCTCTTTCCAAAGTTGTTGCCTGATCTGCAGCATTTGTTGTTTTCATTTCAGATTCCAGCATCTGCAGCAATTTGCTCCAACCTTTTTTTAAATTTAATGTTAAATTCAAATGCTGTTCTTCCTTTCTTTATCAGTGTTTGGTCATTATTTCCTGAGTTCTAAATTGCTCCCAATCCTGAGGTTTACCATATTTTCTGACGTCCTAATAAGCAATCTCCTTTGATCTAGTGCAATCTTTGACTTGTTTTGTTAGCCATAGTTGATTGAACATTCCCATTAGGTGTTTGTGCCTTAGGGAATATATGTCCGTTGTAAACCATTTATTACTACTTTGAACATTGTCTGTCTACCATCAAATGTTTTAGGGTATTTTTCCAATCTACCATAGCCAATTTGTCCGCCATAACTTCATACTTCGTCTTGGTCAGATTAAAGACCCTAGTTACAGAATGAACTAGGCCCCATTCCAACTTAATGTGTATATCTCTCTCTGCCCACATTTTCTCTTGGTGTTTTTTTTTTCCTGGACTGGAGAACCATTGCATGTGAGACAATTGATTTTACTGAATTTGCCTTTGCTAAGTGAGCGTTGATGGGATGTTACTATATTGGAACAGTTGCTGATTAGTGGTTAAATTATCTATTATTTTGTTAAGTTTTCCAATAGAGTCAAAGTTATACTAACTTTTTTTTTGTTTGTATTTTAACTGGGTATAAGAATAAGGTGTGTTTTGCTTAAAGCCAAATTGTGTGAACAATTGAAGTCCATCTGGAACACGGCACCTTATGCTTGCCTTTAAATAAGATAAAAGCTAGGGTCCAGGTTATCTCCTTGATGTATTTGAAGGGGGTTTGGTCTGGTCCATAACAAAGTACTGTTGATTATTACTCAAATTGCATCCTGCCAACTGAAAAATTTGAGTTATTTTTAATTAGGTGAATAAATCAGAGCTTGTTATGTTGTTTTAACATTTTATGCATTTTCAAAAAATACTCCTTTTCAATACAGTTGTTTGTTCATTAGCACCAACCTATGAACCAATGGTGCAATAATAACCATTCTACGCAGGTCCTGTGAGATATAAAATTTGATCACAGTCAGAGGATCTGCAATAAAGTGTGACATCAGTATCTGTGGACATTTATAACTGAAGACTTTTGCTATTGCTGGACAGGTGCACACAAGCCCCCCTTCATATGCTCTTGATAGAGTTGTGGCAAGTTTTCGAACACGCAGTCAGATGTTAGTTGATCACCTTGAAGAGCATGATGAGGTTATTCGTCACAAATTAGATGACGATAGTGACGATGAGGAAGTAGGAAAGAAGAAAGAAAACATAAATATACAGCTTCCAAGGTAGGAAAAATGTAAACTGCTAACTTCAGGCACATTCATGTTCCTTTTAAATGAGTTGAGGGTTTCTGCCTCAGCTACCAAATTAAAAATACCCACCCTCCTCTGGGTAAAGGAAAGCTTTTATTTTCTCATGTCTCCTCTAATCCTTCTACCAATGACCTTAAATCCATGCCCTCGATAATTGACCTTGACTAGGGGAAATAAGTCTTCTCCACCCACTCTATTGAAGCACCTCATTATTTTGTGTACCTCAATTAAGTCACCCTCAGTCACCTCTGTTGTAAAGAAATCAATCTTAACTTATTCAGTCCTTCCTCAGAATCAGCAATTTTCAAGCCCTGGCAACATTATGGTAAAGTTCCCCTGTACTCTGTTTAGAGCAATTGTGTCCTTCTTGTCATGTGGTGACCAGAACTGTTCAAATGCTTCAGCTGTGGCCTAACTAATATCTTGTATAGTTCCAGCATTACCTACCCACCTTTACATTCAGTACCTTACTCAATGAAGGAGAGTATCCCACATGCCTTCGTTAACATTTTGTCAGCCTGTCCTGCTATGTTCAAGGACCTGTGCACATGCAATCCAAGGTCTCTCATTTTCCCTACACCTCTCAATACCTTCCCATTTATTATGTATACCCTTGCACTGTTTAACCTAACTCCGCAAAGGTATTACCTTACAGTTTCCGGATTAAATTATATTTGTCAATTTTCCACTGACTCAACCAAAGCAATGACACCATTCTACAGTCAACAGTCATCCTCTTCACTATCAAGTATCGAGCCAATTTCTTTGTGTCTTCTGCAAATTTCCCAATCATACCATCAACATTTAAATCTAAATCATTAATATATGCCTTAAATAGCAAACAACCCAACACTGAGGTCCATGAAACACCACTGGAAATCATTTGCATTCGCAAAATTATCCATCGACTATTATCCTTTGTTTCCTGTCAATTTTGGATCCAGATCGCCACAATTTTATGCATCCCATGGAGTTCAATTTTTTTCTTAACAGTCCACCGAGGGATTTTGTCAAATGCCTTAATAAAATTAATACATATGGACAACATCTGCTACACTACTCTCATCAATCTTCCTTGTTATTTCCTCAAAAAAATTCAACTAAGTTAGTAATGCGTGAGCTTCCCAATACAAAATTATGCTGACTGTCCCCAGTTTAATCCACTCCTTTCCAAGTAACAGTTAATCCTGTCTCTCAGTATTGATTTTAGTAGTTTCTTCTGTCATCAAGGTTGGAAGGACCAACGTATAATTACTTGGCCTGTCCCTTGCATTGTTTCTGAGTAGTGGTACAATGGTCACAGAGCTCCAATCCTCATCTGTATCTAGTGAGGATTGGGCAAAGATCCCCATATCTGCTATTTCCTCCCTGGCCTCTTCAAATACTTTTCAATACATTTCATCTGGCACTGATGTTTTAACTCCCTTTAAAGAGGTCAGTCCCTCCAGTACTTCTCATTAAGTTTACTTCATCTAATTTCACAGTCCTCCAACTTTAACTAGAATGTCTGAATTATCCCGCTCCTTTAAGAAGTTAGAGAAAATATACTTATTTAGAACTCAGTCCACATCTTCTGCATCCAATTACAAGTTACCATGTATGTCCGTGATAGGCCCAAACCTTTCCTTAGCCATCCTCTTGCTCTTAATCTACTGATAAAATACCTTAGAATTTTGATTAACTTTACTGGCTAATGCATTTTGGAATCCTCTCTTTGTTTTCATAATTTCCCTTTTCACATCACCCCTGTACTTTCTACATTGTATTATAGAATAAATCCAGTCTGATGTAGAATGTTTCTGATTACTTGCATGTGCTGTACTGTATCAAAATGTTCACGTGATAAAATTTTGCTTATGGTAAATGCCTGCAATAGTTTTATTTTTAATCCAAATTGTAAAGGCATTTTCTGCTATATTAGGCACCCAATAAATCAGACTTGGACTCAGAAACAAGCCAATGTGATTAACGACACAAAGTTATTAAAAAAAAATTTCACGATGGACAATCAAGGACAAGGTGACAACAAAACAGAATTGGACTCAGAGAAAGGTATGTGCATAGTTTGAGAAATTATACTTTCTTCATTTCATACATCATTACCTGACACCATGAACAAATAAAGTAGTGATGTAATGTAAATGCTTAATGAGATGTGACAAGGTGAATTCTTTAAGGATCTCTTCAATTTTTCTCCGATCAATTATTTGCATGAAGCATTGGACAGTTGCACATTGGAGTTTGTTGTTGGCTTAAATTAGGATCCCCTGTAAGTTATGTCATTGGGAACAGAAGTTACTGAAGAATATATACAGATTAAATGAAAGGCAAAACTGAGACAAATCTTATTCAAAGGCTTAACCCTAATTATGAAATCAGGAAGCATTTTTACAAAAATGTAGTGAAAATCTGGAATTCATCCTGTCACCATCCCAATTATGTCTAATGAGTTCAAGACTAGATTGGCAGATGTTTATCAAATCATAATATAAGGGTTGTAGCAGATGGATAAATCGAGTTGAGGTCGCGATCGTTGATCTTATTGAATGTAGCGATAGACTCAAAAGGCCGTGTGACCTGCTAATTTCTGTATTTTGGAAGGAATAATCGAACAATGGTCGCCATATTTATGTCAATATTGTGCTTCGGTTGTCCACAGTGAGGTACACAAAGATAATATTTTTGCACTCTTTCTCAGATTTTCTTCTGTTTGCAAAATTACCTTCCACCATGCAACTTAGCCAAGATTGAAAGTTGTGGGAGCGGTCTCTACATTGATACACTACACACCATAAATTAACTCAACTAGCTCTGTATAAGTATTTGATTTAATTTATTTGAAAATTTATTTTCTTCCTTTTTTTTGAATATGTAGCTCCACAACTGAAATCCTCCTCTGAGGCTGACCGCTTACGTCAGAGCCAAGTGTTAAACATGAAGAAATTGAAGACTGCAGACATGGATGTGGCGCATTCCAAGCAGAAAATAAGGGAACTTGCCATCAATATTCGTATGAAGGAAGAACTCATTAAAGAATTGGTTAAAACAGGTTAGAAGTGTTAAAATTTTGTAAGTATACGTTGGCAGAATACCAGCTGTCTTTTCTCAGTGTCGAACTAACAGGAAGTGGACAAAAGCATCTGTTAATGTTCTGCTTTTTGTTGCTTTATTTAGGACTGTAAGTTCAGGGGTTTTCAGATGCCAAGGTAACTTTATTAGCTTCACCACTTTCAGGTTATAGCCTGTGGGTTTACATGTCTCCTTGATCTTCAAAGCACTAAATAAACCGTGTGTTTCAGCTGCGTTCCTAATATGCAAGAAGTATAGATAAATAAAACTAAGAACTGCAAATGCTGGAGATCTGAAACAAACAGAAATTGCCAGAGAAACAGTAGGACTGGCAGCATCTGTGAAAAGAAAACAGAGTCAATGTTTCAAGTTCAGTGACCCTTCTTCAGAACTTTAGCAGATGAATAGTCTGGCAATATGGGACAAGATTGCATTAGCCAACAAGGAATTGAAGACTAAAGTTCTAATTTTAATGGTCAATGACCCATCACCAGGAATAACCGGTGGAATCTTATAAAGGTCTGAGCATTCTAAGCGATGGCAAGATTTGTGACATAATCGTCTGAAAATTCTGGCAAGGCCTATTGCTACATCAGGATCAACTCACTGTATCTTTTATGCATTTGCTGAGCGGTTCAGCAAGTTTCTGGCTAGGCAGTAGTGAGCTGCCAATTAAGGGCAATTACAACTTGTTAAACACCTTATAAACTCTGCAACTTGCCTAATGAATACTTAGCCTCGTCTCTCAACATGGAAGTTAGAACGGACACCTGGCAACTTCAGCTCACCCCTGGCTGCAACCAACCTCCATGTTGCTCAGCTTCAAACAGCATCCGAGGACATGATCCATGACCACTTGCCGCATGCACCCCTTGTCCACAGACATTGTTAGCCAATGTCAGATGCCAACTCACAACCATGACAGCACCTCCTCAATCCATTTGCAGGTTATTTAGGGAGCACAAGAGTGCATTATAGATGCACTGGCAACTGGCATTGAAAAGCTGCTGGAGGGAAAGGTTGCATGCAGGGACAGGCACTCAGCTCATGGATTGAACTAGGTTGCATCTCAGGGCTGATTGCTTGTTCCTTTTGTGCTCACACTCATGCTCTTAGCGCCTACCTGCAATCTTGTGGCATCTATGCCTTGCCTTCACTTGCCTTGCTGTATCTGTTCGTGCATTGGCACTTCAGTCAGTGTTATATTGACATGCTGTTCTGCACACAAACATCTTGTCATGGTTTTCAGTGGGGATCTGAATGAGGATGTTGGGAGAAATCTTAATGTATGGGACACTAAGAACCACAGCATGTGCCAGCTGTGTATGCAACAAACACACTGCCCATATATTCAACCAAACGGCCAGGTTGGAAATTGGATGGGGTCTTGACCTCAGTTGGGTCAAGAGGGTCAATCAGTCAGTTGGTCAGGAGACTCAATACTGCCAGTCATGAGTACATTCTGCACACAGCTCAGGGGCATTGCCACAGTCAGTAATCTGCTTGGGACAGAGATACTTCCAGACTCATTGAGTATTTCCAGTATTTTCTACTTTGACTTCCTGAAAATAATTGTTAATAGTGCGGGCATGTTAGTTAGAAGCTGAACCATTTTAAATATAAAAATATATGTATAATAATAACTTACATTGTATAGCACCTTTAATGTGGTAAAATATCCCGAGGTGCTTTATGGTAACATTATTAAACAAAATTTTTCAATGAGCCACACAATAGGAGATATCTGGATAGATGACTAAAACCATGTTGAAGATGCATGTTTTATGGAATGTGTTAAAGGACAAAATAAAAGGAGATATCGAGGCTGAGAGATTTATGGAAGAAACTTCGGAACAGAGGCTTTGGCAGATAAAAGCCTAGCTTCGACAGCAGAATGATAAAATTTGAGAATACTGAAAAGGCCAGAATTGGAGAAACACAGACACATGGCAGTTTGCAATTAGAGAGAGATAGGAAGTTGTACAATATTGGAAAGAGATGAAAATGAGGCTGAGACTTTTAAAAATGAGGCATTGCTCGACAGTAATATAAGAAAATAGGGATGTTGGTGAATGGGATTGGTCCAAGTTAGGACGTGGGCAGCAGGGATTTTGGATGGCCTCATTTTTATGGAGGGCAGAATGTGGAAGGTGGGCTAGGATTAGTCAAGTCTATGGTGTGGATAAGCTAAACTGGGATAGTGTCACCCATTTCTTTGAAGGTGAAAAAGGTGATCTTAGAATGTAGAGATATATGGTCAGTTGCTCATCCCATAGTTGGCTATGATGTCAAGGTTGCGAGTGGTTTGGTACGGCTTCAGACATTTATCAGGATAAAGGATGGAGTCAGTGACTAGGGAATGGAGTTTATGGAGGAATCCAAGGACATGGCTTTGCTATTCCTATTATTTAGTTGGAAGGACTTTCTAGTCCTGTAGTGAATATTGGGCCAGTAATTCTAGAGATGATAATGAGGCAAGAGAGATGTGATGAAGTAGAACTGAGTGTTGTGAGTTTATGTGCAGAAACCGATGTAGCGCTTTTATACAATATCACCAAGGGACAGCATATAAATATAAAATGGGAGAAAGCAAGGATGACCGAGTGTTACATCAGAGTTCTTGGTAAATGAGTGGAAAGAGAAGCTATTAAAGATGTTTCTCTGGCTATAACTGATTAGAAATGAATGAAAGTGAGTGAGTGTTAAGTCTAACTAAACTAATGGAAGCCATCTAAAGCTGTTAACTTGCCAGCGATTTATAGAATTGATCATAAACTGATCTCACTATTAAGTCACTTTTCGGTGCAAAGCTTAACATCAACTTATAATTAGCAAGTTAGTGCTGAATTATTGTGATGTTAGCTATGCCAGGCTCATTACTTATTGTCAGTTACTCATATGTATTGTTGATAATTGATAATTAAATCTTAAATGCTGATAATTATGATTGAAGGTGTTAATGAATAGATATTAATGGTGTGACTGTTTCTTTGACAATACACTAACATGGATTTAGTTCCAAAAATGGTTTATGCACTTCCTGATATGGATATAATATTGTAAATACTAAAATATTCCAAATGACCTGATGCTGTTGAGGCTGTTTGATGTGCCCAATTTGGGCATTATTTCTTCCCTGGACTTAGATTGGGTGGTAGTCCTTGACAGTTCCTTGACTGACAATGAAAGGGATGCAGTTATAAATATATGAGGCCATAAAGAAATAACCCTTTATAAATTTAATAGAGTGCTTATTTCATTGTGCCTGCAAATAGTTGAAGTTTAATTGTTATCATTGTCAGCAGCATGCATCCATTTAGGTATGATGATGGACAAGCAGTCAAATCAAATCCATGGGGGAGGGGTAGCTTCAAATGGTACACTTTTGCTGTTGGCTAAAAAAATAAATCTGAGAGAACAGGTTCTGCTCCAAGTGCTGCATAAGAAGCAGCTACTGGATGTGACATTGAGATGTTGTTTACAGAGTATCTCATAAGTATGAAAATCAATATTTGGGGGCATTCTTTGCATCCTTGCTAGTATCCTTGATGCAGAAAATTGCCTGTCCTACTTGCCTTGTGGTTCTGACACACAGATCTTTGGGTAAATATCCATTTTTCATCCTTTGAGTGTGCCTGAGTTAGAGGTGTCACCTCTGCTCAATGAGAACCAACTTACTTGGGACCCTTGCCTTTGAGTGCACTGCCATATTCATGATTTATCCTTCCACAAACCTCCTAGAATGTACTTCAAACATGAAAGTTATTAAGCTGCTTTTCTCAATGGCTACAAGTTTTACATGTTTCACAACGTTATAGCAATTTGCTGAGAATAAAGCGCTAATGAATTAATATCATGATTTGAAAGTCAACTTCAATTTATTCAATGCACATTTCATGAGTTTCCCAAAGGTAGGTTGGGAGGCAAGGCATGGCATAGAAGCAAGGCTTGAGGAACATGACCTGATGCAGAGGTAAAACCCAAGATGCGGTGCTTGGAAAGAGGCCAGGTCTGAAGGGCAAGGCCCAGGAGAGAGGCGAGACTAGGGACTAGGAGCAGTAAGCAAGGCTAAGAGCCTAGTCAGGAGACAAGACGGAGAGCTATGGTTGCTGTGGGAGAAGAGTTGGAGCGAGAGTGATTGGGGATGAGAGCAGAAGTGCTGAGGGAAAGTTCAGGTGAGCATACAAGCCTTGCATGAGTCTTACAGATGACTTTCAAGTGAAACTGGCAACATTAAACAGTTATTTTTGCCAGAGAATTTTTTTTTGGCCAGCATGTAACCAATCCAGCAACAGTCAGTCTAATTCTAGATTTATTCTTATGAAAAAGAAACGTTGAGCAGCTGGATGAAGTAGCAGTGGGATAATCATTTAGGAAATAGTAATCATAATACAGTTAGATTTAGCATCATTACGGAAATGGACAAAGATGGAACAGGAATAAGAATTCTAAATTGGGAGAAGACAAATTGTATGAAGCGGAGATATGATCTGGCAAAAGTGGACTGGTTATAGCTTCTTGAAGGAAAAAGTCACTACAAATCAGTAGAAGGTATTCAAAAGTGAGATTTTACAGGCAAAGGTAAAGGGTGGTACTGCCATATCCCGAGTCCCCTGTTTATCCAGAAGCATACAGGGCAGGATAAAGCAGAAAAACAGAGCCTAAGAAAATCTCAAAAATAGTAATTCTTTAGGAAGCTTAGGGGAGTATATTAAGTGTGTGAAAAAGGAAATTAGGAAGGCATGGAGAACATACATAAAAAAAGGCTGGCCAAAATAAGGAAAATCCAATGATGTTTTATCAGTGCACTAACAGCAAGAGACTGAATAAGGAAAGGATTGAGCCTATCACAGATGTGCTTATATTTGAATGAAGATAATGTGTTTTCTAAATTAGTATTTTGCCTCTGTTTTTAACAAAGAAGAGGAATGATGCAAACATTCTTGTTAAAGACGTGTGAAATGTTCAATGAAAAGAGAAGTAATGGAAGGACAGTCCTCTTCTTAAGTCAATAAATCACCAGAGCTAAATGAATTGCATTATAGGCTATTAAAAGAAGCCAGGGAGGAAAGAGCAGATACAATGAGGATTATTTTCCAATCCAATACAGATGGAGATTTGTGAATGTTGTGCCAGTATTTACAAAGGGTGTGAGGGAAAGGCCAAATAATTATAGGATGGTCAGTCCAACTTTGGTAGTAAAATGTTAACTGTTGATTGAAAAGGCGTGGATTAATCAGGGAAGTAAGCACGGTTTTGTTAAGGGAAAGTCCTGTCTTACTAACTTGTTGAATTTTTTGAGAAAGTAACAAGGAAGATTGACAAAGGTGGTGCAGTAGATATTGTCTGTGGATTTTGGTAAGCCATTTGACATGGTCTGACATGGCAATCTGCAATGAAAAATTAAAGTTCATCGGATAGGGGAATGTGGTGGGTTGTATCTAAAATTGGCTCAGGGACAGGAAACAAATGTAATGGTTGATGTATAATTTGCAAATGGAAAATGTTTTCAATAGCTTTCCAATGTTATTCTAAAGGAATTAGTATTGGGTCATTTGCTATTTGTGATATATATTAATAGATGAGATTTAAATATAGGAGGCATGATTGGCAAATTTCCAGCTGACAGAAGAATTGGCCAGGTGGTTGATCATGAAAATGATGGCTGTTGACTGCAGGAAGATTCAGTAGGTTGGCTATATGGCCTGAAAAGTGACAAATGAAATCCAGTCCTGAGAAGTGTGAGGTTATGCATTTGGGGACAATGAAAGGGAATACGCAATAAACAGGAGGGTATTGGAAGGTGCACGGAAGTTAGAGAACTCTGATGCACATTCTAAAATCTCTGACAGTCGCAGAACAGGTAAATAAAGTAGTATAGAAAGCATATGGGATGCTTTCTTTCATTGGATGAGGTACTAAATGCAAGAATAATGTTGTAATGCTGGAACTTTATAAGATACTGGTTAGCCTATGGCTGAAATTGTGCATACAGTTCTATCAAATTACAAGAATGCTGTCAGCACTTGACAAGTACAAGTAGGGGCAAGATTGGATAAGCTGTGTTATTTTCCTTAGATGCGGAGGTGCCAGTGTTGGTCTGGGGTGGACAAGGTCAGAAATCACACAACACCAGGTTATAGTCCAACAGGTTTATTTAAAAACACAAGCTTTTGGAGTCAAGAAGGAGTAAGACTCTGAAAGCTTGAGTTTTCAAATAAACCTGTTGGACTATAACCTGGTGTCGTGTGATTTTTGATATTTTCCTTAGAACATAGGAGTTGATCGAAGAGTACAGAATAAGAAGAGGCTTAGATAAAGTGTACAGGGAAGACCTCCTTCCCCTAGCCAAGTTACCAGTGGTGACTGATTTAAGTAAATTGGTAGAAGGGTCCCAGGAGACAGTGGTGAGTTTCTGGATTTCTCTGCCCAGTTGGTGACTGCAGCAGAAATCCTCAACTTGTTCAAAAGGAACCTAGATCTGCATGTACAAAAACAGAAGTTTCTGGAAAAGCTCAGCAGGCCTGGCAGCATCTGTAAAGAAAAAATCAGAGTTAACGTTTCGGGTCCAGTGACCCTTCCTCAGAACTGGATCTGCATGTGATGTATGTAATTTACAAGGCTATGGACCAAGTGCTGGATAGTGGGATGAGAATGGGCAGCTAGTTTATTCAGGCTTTATAGATGTGATGGGTTGAATGGCCTCTTTCTGTGCTGTAACCTTTCTTTATTTCTATGGTTATGCTGGCACTGCTTTATTACCAGTGCTAAAACAGAAACGACATTAATTAATTCAACGTTAAGTAGGACTTGCTATATCAAATTCTGCATCAAGAGTTAGTTTGCCTTTTTGATGAAAGGTACATGAGTTGAATAGTGAAATTTGGATTTCAAAATAGAGGCAGATGGATGTCGGTTTCTTCTGTGAAGGGTTTTCTTGAAAACAAATGTCAGACAGTCCTCCTGGAACAGCAATTCTATGATGAAAACATGATGAGCGTGAAGAAGATACCAAACAAAGTGCGGTCCAAGACAGGATTGTTTCACTCTTTCCTTCACCCTGTCAAAACTGGTTCCATGCAACCACAGTACAGTGCACATTTTCATGATAGAAACAGATGAAATTGAGGAGCTTTGACATACAACCAACTTTCCCCAAAATTTTGAAATGTCTTGTGCTGCTCACTGATTGAATATCAGTGAGGTAATTGAAAATCAAGCAGAATTACATCTTGTTCCCTAAACTTCTGGATACTCACTGTAGATCTGCAATTTATTGCTTCCTTCTTCCCCTGGCTGTAAGGCTTCTCGGTACAAGCCTGGACAAGGCTTCCAGCCTCCCTCTCTCCTAAAACCAGGTTGGCCACTAGCAAATGCTGAACCCAATCCCCTAGGCTGAAGAGGACCTGCTGCAGCCCAGCTCTCTAGGTGCCTCAGATCTTGCCAACACGTGAGAAGTGGGAAAATTAATTATTAATATTACTAAAATTCCTGTTGATTGTATGCACATGGTCATCCACCTTCATTAAACAAAAACTGTGCTATTATACTGGATAGGAATGGGGAACACACTCAAGGCCATTGTGACCCCAGAAGGGTCTACATTCCATATTTTCTTCAATTGGGTTATGAGAAATTCTCCAAAGCTCCTTAGATAACACTTTCCAAACCCACAAGCACTTCCATCGAGAAGTATAAGGACAGCAGCTACATGGGAACTGCACCACCTAAAAGGTCCCCTTGTGGTCAAGCGACCACAGACCCAAATTAGACATTCTGAATTAACAGACAGCCGGAGAAATAAGCCTGACAGAAAATTGGCCAAACTAATTTAAATAGCAGCCAATAGCGACAAAGAACAGTGGAAATCAAGGTCAAAGAGGTTACAAATGTTCACAGGGAACCAGTTACAACCAGCCCAAGGGGTCCATATTGGAGAAGCTACAATCAGACTTCCAGGCATCTTAACTTCCAGCGAGTGCCTGAGGATGTGCACTTTACACCTCCCCACCATGGCATCGGTGAAGAGTGTTTGCGCGACCCCATTGGATGCTTTAAACCCAGCTCAGGGCTCATTAGCCAAATGCCACAGAACTTTCAGGAAGGTCCGCATGAGGGGTGATTAAAAACACACACCTGAAAGCCACCTGTCAGCGAAGACTTGCAGCACAACCCATGGCAGAAGACCATGAAGCAATCAAAGAAGACTCAGGAGAAGATCTACCCTGACCTGCAAGACCCACCTTTGTGGAAGAAAGCCAGCCCGACGTCAGAGAGGAAGGAAATTCCAATGACCCAGCTCAAACACATGGATGGTTGTGGGTAATATTCTTTCTCAGATGGATAGAACTAAATAGAGAGTAAATATTGTGGAAATTTGGGAAATGCTCACACGGTGTTTTTAATAAGGATTATTTCACTAATAAGATCGAGTTGAATTGCAAACCAAATTCTGTGTCTTTTTTTCAGGTTCAAGAACAACAGTACTTTGGTAAATTGTTTTTTAGCACTTAAACTGGTCGAAGTGTCCAAAGACGGACAACCCGCTCCAAGCCACTCACTATCCTAATGTGAAAATATATCGCCATTCCTTCACTGTCACTGGTTCAGAATCCTGGAACTCCCTTCCCTTCAGATATTGTAGGTATACCTACAGCACGTGGACTGCAGTGGTTCAGGAAGTTAGCTCACCACCACCTTCTCAAGGGTAACTAGGGATGGGCAATAGATACTGGCCCAATCAGTAATGCCCACGTCACACAAGTGAATAAAACCAAAGGTTAATTTTAATATACATGAGTTCAAATGAAACAAATGCGTATGGCTACATAAGGGGTAGCTTTCCATCAGTTGGCTGCCTTACAATCTGCTACTTAATTGGAAGGCATAAAAGTGTAAGATAAAATCTGCTTTATTTTCTGAGATAACTGGAGATAATGTGTTTTCATTAGAGCTGTCCATCCTTGCCTTTACTATTGTTTTGTCATTTTATTTGTGAAGAATTTATTGTACTCTTAATCTATTTATTTGTAAATTTATTCATTCAGGTCAGGATGCCCAAGCTGTAAACCGACAGTATTACCAAAAGATCACTCAATTAGAGCAAGAAGCTGAGCAAGCCAAGACTGAGCTGTCAGAAGCTCAAAAACAATTACAGGAACTGGAGAACAAGGAACTTCGGGATGCCGCAGAGAAAATAAAGCTACAAAAAGAATTCCGCAAGAAAATGGAAACAGCCAAAGTTAAAATGCAGGTTAGCCACTATACAGTAGCCATCCTTTGGTTTAATTTGTTTTAATTATCATATGTGGATCTCATAAGCAAGGCCAACATTTATTGCCTGTCCTTAATGGTCCTTGAGAAGGTGCTGCTGCTCTGTAGTGATGTAGGTAGACCTACATTGCAGTTTATTTTTAGGAAGATCCAGGACTTTGGTTCAGCAATGGTGAACATGGTGAACAAACAGCAATGTAGATTCAAGTCAGGATGGTTTGTGACTTGGAAAGGAAATTGCAGGTAGTGATGTTCTGAGTATGTCTACATAACTGAAGTTCCCATTCCTGAAACTATTCCCAAAAAACTAATATATGTATCCTACGCTCCGTTCGCGACCAATGACTGCAACTCCCAGTCGCGAATCACTTCAACTCCCCCTCCCACACCTTGGACGACATGTCCATCCAGGGCCTCCTCCAGTGCCACAACGATGCCACTCGAAGGTTGCAGGAACAGCACCTCATATTTCGCTTGGGAACCCTGCAGCCCAATGGTCTCAATGTGGACTTCACAAGCCTCAAAATCTCCCCACCCCTGACCTCATCCCAAAACCAGCCCAGCTCGTCCCCGCCTCCTTGACCTGTCCGTCTTTTCTCCCACCTATCCAGTCCTCTCACCTCAACCCCCACCCCCACCTCCTACCTACCAGCCTCATCCCCACCTCCTTGACCTGCCCGTCTTTCCTTGACTGACCAACCCCCATCCTAACTCCCCACCTACACCCACCTATACTGGCTCCATCCCCGCCTCCTTGACCTGTCCGTCTCCTCTCCACCTATCTGCTCCTTTATCCACCTTCCATCCGCCTCCCCCTCTCTCTCTCTTTATTTCAGAATTTCCTTCCCCTCCCCCATTTCTGAAGAAGGGTTGAGACCCGAAACATCAGCTTTCCTGCTCCTCTGATGCTTCTTGTCCTGCGGTGTTCATCCAGCTCTACACCTTGTTATCTCAGATTCCCCAGCATTGGCAGTTCCTACTATCTCTGAACCTATGTATCCTCCCTGATGCCTTTACAGCTTGTGAAATTGTGGTGCCTGAGACTAGACACAATGCTCCAACTGAGGCCAAACCAGTACAGGTCTCATAATATTTTTGCTTTTGTACTGTATGCCTTATAACTGTTTTCTGCACCTCCCTGCCACCTTCAAAGATTTGCAAACATGTAACCTAAGCTCCCCACCTCACTCCTACACCCTTTTTACAATTATAAAAGAAAGTCTGTGACTTTATCTTGCTGGAAATAAGGTTAACAATAGTTTGAAATGTTGATTTCATTATAAAAGGCAATTGAGAAGTATTTAGCTATGGTTAGAATCTTGCTTTGGTTTGAATAGTTTTACTTTTTGAACTGAAGTCTAGCTGTAACAAGTATACTGCAACCAATGGTGGACAAAATAACAATCATAAAAATAATAAACATTAAAGATTTGGTCCTGTTCCATTTAGACCCTGCAGAGGAAACAGCAGGAAACAAGGAAGTTGTTTTCTTTATCAGCGCAGAGTGAGAAGCGTTTGGTCCAGCTGAGCCAGAATGTCGAAAACATGAAACAACAGCAACAACTGCTTCACAAGAAACTGCAAGAAGAAAGCGAGAAAAAACGAAAACTGGAAAATGAGATTCAAAGAGATCAGCAACTAATTAAAGTAAGAACATTTCACAGTCAAATTAGCAATTACAAAGGAAAAAAATAATTATACTTACCACTTGTATAAATGTTTTCTGTATGAGAAACTTACTGTATACTGTATTCTTAAATTTGCCATTTAATTTGTCCCTATTCGTACTTTCCTTTTTAAAATCCCCTCAGGAAGAAATCTACCCGAAAAGGTGGGTGTGTTTTGGAAGGAGTAGCAGATCAAAAGTGCTGAAATTAGGAGGTAGTGCTATAATGGTAATGTCACTGGACTAATAATCCAGAACTGCAGGCTAATATTCTAGTGACATAGGTTTGAATTCCACCATGGCAAGTGCTAACATTTGAATTCGATAGCTAAATGTAGTCTAATGATGATTACGTAATCATTGTTGATTGTTATAAGAAACGTCTGGTTCACTGATGTCTGTTAGGGAATAAAATTTGCTTTCTTCCCTGATTTAGCCTACATGTGCTTCCAGACCCACACTGATGTGGTTGACACTTAACTACCCTTTGGAAAAGCCTAACAATCCGCTAAGTTATATCAAGATGTTACCAAGTCAAACTAAGTCTAGACAGACCACCTAGCATTGACTTAGGCACAGGAAGTAACAATTACCCTAATGATTCTGCAAATCATTCTTTCATAATGACTGGAAGTTTGTTCAAAAATTGGGAGAGCTGTACCAACAACTAGTCAAGAACAGTGTGACGACATAGTTATATGGGAATAATCATATCTTACGGCCCCACATACCAACATCACCTTTCATGATTTATGTTCTGTCCCGTCAGCAGGACAGCTGCACCACAAGTACGGTACAATCCAGAGGTGTATTGACTGCAGACTGCATGAAGTTTCATGGCATCTTAATCGAATATGGGCAAGGAACTTTCCTGTTTGCCAACCATCAGTACTCTTCCAAACTGAACAGTACTTGGAAGAAGCACTGAAAGTGACAAGGGCACAACATATATTCTTGGCAGGGGACTTCAATGCCCATCACCAACTGTGGCTTAGTAACACCTCTACTGAATGAAATGACTGAGTCCTAAAGGACGTAACTGCTAGACTGGGTCTGTGGCAGGTGGAGAGGGGAGTGAACCAACAAGGGGGAGAAACTCAACTTGACTTAATTGTCATCAACTCATCTGTCCATGACAGTATATCGGTATGAGTGGCCACTACATAGTCCAATCTTCATATTAAGGATATCCTCCACTGTTGTGTACCAATACCCCCATACTAAATGGGTCAGACCAACAGATCCAGCAACTCAAAACTCGCCACTGTGGACCATAATGAACAGTAGAATTGTCTTCATCCACAATCTGTGACCTCATGAACCAGCATACCCCCACACTGCCATTACCAAAAGGCTAGTAAGTCAATCCTAGTTCAATGAGTGCAAAGAGCATGCCAGGAGCATTACCGAGCATACCTGAAAATGAGGTGTCAACCTGGTGAAGTTACAGCACAGGGCTACTTGTGTGCCAAACAGCAGAAGTGGCATGCAGTAGACAGGGTTAAGTGATCCCACACCAATAGATTAGGTCTAAGCTCTGCAGTCTTGCCATATCCAGTCATGAATTGCAACAGACAATTAAAGAAGTAACAGGAGATGGGGACTCTACAGTATCCCCAATCTCAGTGATGTGGGAGTACGGCACATAAGTGCGAAAGATGAGGATGAAGTATTTGTATCCATCCTCAGCCAGAACTGCAGAGTGGATGACCCATCTCAGCCACTTTCTGAGGCCCCTCAAGGGAGCAATCAACCAAGTTTTTTTTTCTTTATTCATTCACTGGCTAGGCAGCATTTATTGCCCATCCCTAATTGCCCAGAGGGCAATTAAAAGTCAACCACATTGCTGTGGGTCTGGAGTCACATGTAGGCCAGAGCAGGTAAGGATGGCAGTTTCCTTCCCTAAAGGACACTAGTGAACCAAATGGGTTTTTCCGGACAATCAACAATGGATTCATGGTCATCATTAGATTGTAAATTCCAGATATTTATTGAATTCAAATTTCAAATTCCACCATCTGCCATGGCAGGATTCGAACCTGGATCCCCAGAACATTATCTGGGTTTCTGGATTAACAGTCCAGTGATAATACCACTAGGCCATTACCTCCCCTGACGTATGACATCAAGGAGCCCTAACAAAACTGGAATAATTGCGAATCAGGAAATTTCTCCACTGGTTGGAGTTACACCTAGCACAAAGGAAAATGGTTGTGGTTGTTGAAGGTGAATAATCTCAGCCCGGAACATCTCTGCAGGAGTTCCTCAAGGTAATGCCCAACCATCTTCAACTTGGAGATATTACATTTTGTTCCCTCATCTACATCATTAACAGGTATCGTGAATAGCTGGGGTCCAAGCACTGATCCCTGCGGATTCCACTAGTGTCACTGGCTGCCACTTGTTGGAGTAAAAGGAGTGTAGGACTGTTAATGGTGCAGACTTTTGATTGAATCTTTGAATCAAGGCCCCAAGAACTCTCAAGGTTCCATGATAGTATCTCAAAGAAGAACAGGAGATTTATCCTTGTTGCTTTTACAATATTTATGCCAGTTAACATAACAAAAAAAAAGTCTGGTGATCACATTTCTATTTTCGAACTGGATCAGCACAAAATGATTGCCATGTTTGTTTGTAATTTAGAGCTTTGAGATCTTCTGAGGTTGTGCAAGGTACTTGTATAAATTCAATTTTCCTTAAAATTTTGCCCTGATTTGGTCATTGAACCTCTTCCAATACTGAATCTGGGAATATAGCACAATACTTTAGCTGTTAACCTATCAAGACATATCTAATCTACTTATTTTCAGGGACATTTTAGCAAAGAAAACATTTCCCTGCAAGCCCACAGAATCCACAGCATCATGTCCAGAGACACATTGCCGAAGCAGGTGTTGCCTTTGCTACATTGTGTCCCTGTTTTTGCAGCATCTAGCTTTGTTTGAAACCTCTAATATGTTTCAACTGTTATTGATGTGTGAAATAATAGAGCTAAAAACGACTGCTGCAGATTATTATCATCATCATCATTGTCGTCCTCACACTGAGGCGCTTTACTTAATTGAAATCTGGAAGTCAAATGCAATTGCAGCGGCTACATTAAAAAGCCACTGAAAAGTGCTGAAAATTCCACGTTCCCAACGTGTTGCCAGGTTTACAGAAAATACAATATAGCTCTACGTGTGGCACCAACCACCTGTGTTAGGAATGTCTTCAGCAGGAGAGAAAATTGGAGAGACAAAAATAGGAACCACTCATTTATGTGAAAATAAAATATTCCAAGGACATTAACTAGTGCATGCATTTCCTTTTATTTGATATATGTCTGAGATTGGGGTATTCTTGTCAGCTGTTCAAGAATGGTGTCTTAAACTGATTGCAACAGTTTTGAAGGGCACAACCCTAATTTTTCAAATTAGTTTATTTGTAGAAGCAGGAATAGAGGCTGGTGAGCTAGCAATTTTAGATCCCTGTATGCTGGTTTCCCGATGTGGTCCATCCTCTGGCACATTTTGGAGGGAACTAGTTTATTGGGTTGACTGGTATCAGCAGCTAGCAAGTTGGGCTAATTATAGAACCAACCAAAGAGTCTTTCTCAGTACCAACTGGAGAGAGGAATTTTCCAAGCGGCAAATTGTCCCCACCCACTGAGGCAAAATTCTGGCTGCTGGATGGGAGCAACCTCCTGGTGACAGGAGCTGCCTTAATTAACTCCCCCAGTCCTAATAGCTGCAATTGCCAGAAAGTCACTATGCTGCCCCAGGCATTCCAGTAGAGTAATTGCCCCATCAACAATGACCACATGGCAACTATGCCCATTTTTCTTTCAAAAATTTGAAAATACTTCAGACGGCACCCTCCTGTTAATCCATCTGCACAGCCATGTCCACTTCTGACAGTGGTGCTGCAAACCTTTCATGGCTGGACAACCTACTTTTGTCTGTACAGACTTGGATGTCCACCTCATTTAACTGTCTCCCCCCCCCCCCCTCTAAAGTCTCCCTCTAGATCCTTTTTTTTATGCGCTCATGGGATGTAGGTATCTCTGGCTAGGCCAGCAATTATTGCCCATCCCTAATAGCCCCGAGGGCAGTTTAGAGTCCACCACATTGCTATGGGTCTGGAGTCATATGTAGGCCAGACCAGGTAAGGATAACCGATTTTCCTTACCTAAAGGACATTAGTGAACCAGATAGGTTTTTCCGACAATCAACAATGGTTTCATGGCCATCATTAGACCGTTAATTCCAAGTTCTTTATTGAATTCAAATTCGACCATCTGCCATGGTGGGTCCCTAGAACATTTACTGAGTTTCTGGATTAATTTTCTAGAGATAATACCATTAGGCTGTTGCCTCCCTCCTGCCAGCATTTGTGGGTTCCCAACCCATTTCGACCTAATCAACAGCCAGGAATGAAAATTCATCCATTGTCTCTAAAGCCACATCAGTCTGCAATGAAAATATGATAATTATTAAAATATTTTCAAACATGACCTCTGTAGAGTCCAATACTATTATGGAAGGAGGATTAGATACTCAACCGAAGTGATGAAATCTCCAGTTGGAATAGAATTGAATAAATTAATTTTATCGATAACTGAAAGGAACCAAAAGGATATGTAGTGTTCAGTGTTATACTCATATCATTGTGAATACAATATAAGCATTTTTTTTCAAAATTGTAGAATAGTTTATTAGGTTGGCAAATATGATCTATGCTGTTCATGCCAGAACACATGACATATTTATACAGCATTTTATAGCGGGTATTAACTGAACATAGACAGCATTAACACATCAGGTATTATTAAAAGAACAACACTGATTATAATTTCAACTCAGTTGTACATTTTCATAACCTTAGAAGTAAATGTGCACTGGATATGAAGGGCAATTTTTATTGGTATACATGCACTTCGAGAAGTTAGGAACTGATGTTACTCCTGTCAAAATAGAAACAAATCCTCTCAGAATAAAAATCAGTCATTCAGAAGAGAAGGACAAAAATACAGGGGGTCCATGATTTATATACATCCCACTTACGAATGCTTATACTTATAAGGTATGATCCCATACATGGTTGTAATTTTAAAGAACCAACATACGAACATTCCCTGTACGTATGAACAGCTGCTTTCCAATTTTCTGTATTGTGTTCCCACCTGCGTACAAATTGACTTACATACAGATTTCAGAACCGAATCCTTTCACAACCTGGGACTGCTGTAAAAGGAAAGGCAAGTTCATGGATCAGTATGAATTTGCAGGCAGGTCAAGGAAACAGCCATGGGTCTGATGCCCTGTTTCAAGGCTGCTGTCGTGGAGGTGTTTGAAAACCAGTTGGTTCATTGCATTGGTAACATCCCCATAAATCCACTGCTTTCCTAAACTGTAGTTGAGACGGCTGTTAACGTACACCTTGCTGTGTACCAATTTTGTAGTGCATTGTCAGCTGCAAATACCCTTACAGTCGATGACATGGCTCCAAAATTTGATTTCTACTGATCCAAATCCTGACGGTTCTCCACAGTTGTTGCAAGTTAGCTGTAGTGGGGCACTGCCAATGTTATGGGGACATCATAGATAGTATAACCAATTATACTTCATCGGTTGATGATGTCCTTAGCATGCTTTCTGTAATTAAATACCAGATACAGCATGACATTTTGTGAATTGGGTGACCTTGAAAGGCTATCAAACATTAGACTATTTGGGCCGACTGTGTAAGATCTAACCTTCTACTCCTGTCTGGTTACTCTATCATTTGGGAATGAGAATTACAAGAAATAATGAGACAACACTCAGCTAAAATTAAACAGTAATGTATTTCCTGGATTTAAGCAACATGTACAATTCTGAGGAAGGGTCACCGGACCGAAAACGTTAACTCTGTTTTTCCCTTCGCAGATGCTGCCAGACCTGCTGAGCTTTTCCAGCAACTTTGGCTTTGTTCCTGACGTACAATACAATACCAGGGAGTTTCAAATGCACTACAGGAAATCATACATATGATCACCAGCTAATTTTGTCCTTGAAACTCAAATACTGCTTTGTCAAATCTGTTTCTATTAAACTACTGATCCCCAGTTGTTATGGCCTATTTCTCCTTTGAATCTGCTATTACCGCTACTCACCTAAAATAAACCTTTGATCCAACCATCCTTGCAAGCTATCATCTATTTCCCACCTCTCCTTCAACTCTACAGTTTTTGAGTCTACTGTCACATTTCATATCTGTTCCCACTGTTCCCAAAACTCAACTTTGTAATGCATTCAATCAGGTTTTCGCCAACCACCAACTACCCCCCCCCCCCCCCCCCCCCCCCCCCAACCCCCACCTCGCCGCAGTACCAAAATGGTTATTGTCAAAGTTATAAACAGGTCTTATTTGACTATGATAAAGACAAACTATCACTTCACATCCTGCAAGCTTTAACACGGTTGATCATTCTACCTTCCTCCAAAACCCTACCACTGACGTCTAATTCAGTGGGACAGCCCTCACCTAGTTCCATTCTTATCCATCCCTTCATACTTAAAAATCTACCTTCATGGCTTCTCTTATCATTCATGTACAATTACCTTTCCCAATAATTTATTCTTAGATCCTTCAAATTTCTTTTCTACATGCTGTTCCTCAGCTACATCATCCAAAAACACATCAGATTTCACATGCACACTGATGATCCCCACCTGCCTCCCTGCCATCTCTGTTGACCCCTCTATATTTTCAACTTGTTTGTTCAACATCCAATATGCAGAATTTTTTTTACAATTAAATGTTAGGAAAGTTGAAGACATTGTCTTTTTTATTGCCCCGATCACAAACTCCACTGTTTTTCCATCAACTGCAACCCATTCCTGGTTGTATTATCTGCACCCCACAATTTGGAAGTTATCACTCCATTACCAAGTCTAAATTGTACATCAGATTGGTGAATAACAGTGATTGCAGCAAAAATCTTATGTAATACTATATCCACCCATTTGTTAATCTAAGTAACCACAATTAATTCCTTTTCTGTTTTATGTTTTCTAGCAGAATATTATCCATTCTGTTACTTGTGACCAAACTCTACATGTTCCAAATTTAGTCATGAGGGCCCATGAGAGGGTGCTGAGGAAATTTAACAGAATAGTTCCAGGGATGAGGGACTTTAGCTAAAAGATTATGTTGGAGAAACTGGAGTTATTTTCCTTGGACCAAAGGAGATTCAGGGGAAATTGGTAGAGACCATTATGACACATTCAGATATGGTATTTAAAGAAATGAAAGAGCAGGGGACACAGATTAGGAGATGCAAGAAGAATCTGAGGAAGGATTTTTTATGCAACAAGGGGTAATGACCTAGAACTTACTGCTACAGTGGTGGTGGAAGTGAATACTCTGAGTAATTTAAAAAGGAAATCAGATGGTTTCTTGAGAAAAATAAACTTGAAGAGCTTCAGGAATAAGGCATTAGTGCTGGTGTACACTCACTGGATTGTGTGGCCTCCTGTGTAATGTTGAATCTATGACTATAAACTATTTTCTGCTACCTTATGAAATGCTAAATATTTTATATCTATTGCCATTATTTTCCTTTTATCTTTTCTGACACTTCAAAGAATTCAATTAAGTTGATTAAGCATGATCTTCACTTTAACAGCTCTTTTTTGATTTCAATTTCTTCATAATTTTCTATTACATATGAATAAAGATTTCATTGCCTTACGTACCATCAATCTTAATATAATTCGTCTATAATTTGTGGATTTGTTCTATCTCTCCTTTGATATATAGAAATCAAATTAGCTGTCCACAAATGAGTGGCACTATTCCTTTTTTCAAAGGAATACTGCATAATATGCAAAAGTTATATTTTCATTAATAAGATAGGTATGAAATTAAATAGGATACAGAAATATGTATTAGAATGTTTCTGGAGCTAACTGATTTATGAGGATTGATTAGCAAATCTTGTGTTCTTAGAGGAGACAAAATTGAGAAGCGATTTGTTAGACATATTTGAAATCATGTGGTGTCTGGACAGAATAGATAGGGAGAAGCCAGGACTCAAGAGATGGGGTGCTATGGTGCTACTTATCAGGGCAGATGCTTTCAGAGGGGTCTCAGGTTCAGACAGCACCACCCCACGTGACCAACCAGAGCAAGGTCTCCTCTGTTTATTCATTTATTGCCGGTCCTTTGCAGTCAAGGACGACTGTCTCCCACTCTCAGGGTGAGTTCATAGGTAACTGTACAGACCAATCCAGCTACTGCAGGCTCTGTTAAACTTGGGGCAAGAAGTGGTTGCAAGAAGGGCTGTTTGGGTTGTTGGTGTGGCAGCACGCTCCTTTCACTGTTTTCACCTGGCTTCTGCGAGATGCTCAGTGCCTTCCTCGGTCACTGGCGGGACTGTCCATAATGGTCCTGACATTTCAGGTCCCAAACTTCATCCTGAGGGTGTGGAAGGTGCCTGTGCAAGAGGTCTTTTGACATGGGTGAGGAGTTTATAAACTTACTGGCCTTGTAGGAGTTTATATAAACATTGGGCTGGGAGGGTGTTATAAGATTATTGGGCTGCGGTCAATAAAAGCACTGAAACTGGATGGGGTGTTTTTTAAAACACTGGGCTCTCAGCTGTTATTAAAAGAGAATCACTGGGTTGGGAGGGCGTTATAAAATTACTGGGGGTTGGTTTAAAAACACTGGAAATACTGGGCTGGGAGAGTTATATAAACGTCTGTGGACTGGAGGGAGGCTGAATTGGTAAGGAGCTGTTCACTTCCATGTTTCCTGCTGATAGGCTCACTAGAGAGCTGTGAATTGCTGGAGTTGTTGGTTGAGTCCGGGACTCAGAATTGTGGCTAGGAGCAGGGACCAGCATTTGGGGCTTGTTCCTGGGATGGCTGGGCACGAGGATGGATTACAAACATAATATATTTAAATTGGCACAAAACTTTTGCTAATTGCCTGTTGTTTTTAATTAGTTAGAGTCTGGATACTGTCCATGGTGCGGTAGATTGTCGTTTTCAAAAGGGAATAGGATAATTGCCTTAAGAATAAAGATTCGCAGGGCAACAGGAGAAAGGCAAATGATTGAACTAGCTGTATTGTTCTCACAGACAGTTGGCACAAGTATGATGGGCCAAATAGCCTCATTCTGAACTGTAACCGTTCTCTGAAAATATTTAAAAAGTGAAGTCTCTTCCATTTACAACAAATTATTTTAAACCAGCACCCAATGTCTCTGTTTTTAGATTGATTTCTGCACAACCACATTGGAATTTCACTCAATATCTGTAATCAAAAATGAATGTGACTATGATAGAATAAAACATCAGAATGTTTTAGAACCTGCATTAGTATTTGTATTCGTTCCCTAAAATAAAAACAAACTTGACAAAAATCTAACAATTTTATCTTCTGAAATAAGGTTACAATTTTAAAATATATATGTTTAATTTTTCTAGGAGTTGGAACTAAAGCGAGAACAACAGCAGAAAATTCTGAAAAAGAAAGCTGGAGAGATTACCCATCTGAAGAAAACAAAGTGCTCCCCTATCATCTCACAGGAACAGCAGGTATGTCTTACAACATTATTGAACCGTTGGGCTGCAATGTTTATTATCCTTCTCAGTAATATTTTTACTGTTGAAATGGAACAGAAAATGGGTTCAAATGCAGTATGGGCTGTCAATTCACTGCAACCTGATTTTCACAACCAACCTATTTATTACCCCAATGGCTACTAGCTTAGATACACTTCCATTGTTACCACTGCCTTTCAGTAGTTCAGTTGAAGAGTCGTATTACATTTTTTACTATGTGAGACAGTTCCTAACCAAATGTACTTCCAGCAGATTTGCATTGTTAAAGAAAGTGCAATTGACTGTGATAACCCGTTTTGAGCTAGTTTCCAATATGAGGTTTATGTCTATTATTAAAAGATTGCAGCACTTGTTTTCAAAATGTTTAAACAAATAGTATTGGTGTATGAGTAAGGTAGTGTACATATACTGAATGTAGTAAAGTCCCCATTATCCCAGTGGACCATAGGGCTGCTCTCTTATCAGAGGTGAGCTGGTGGTGGTTTAACCCGAGGGTCACCACACTTCAGGGGAAGGGCAAGATTGAGAAAGTGTGACATTCATGGTAACCTCTGCTTGTGTGGGAGTTGAACCTGCGCTATTGTGTCATTTTGCATTGCAAACCAGCCGTCCAGCCAAATTAACAAACACCCATACTGGATATTAACTCACAGGCAACTATACAGTTTACCTATATTTCAAGATAGACAGATAACAAGCCTGGGCCCAATTCCAAATCTGCAACAGAAATAAAGTGCTGGAAATACTGAGCAGGTCTGGCAGCATCACTGGAGAGAGAAACCGAGTTATATTTCAAGTCAAATATAATTTTTCTTCAAAACTGAATGAGGGTGGGTGTATGATGGATTATATGTTGATAAAAGCAGGAGGGAGATGTAGGAAGAACTAACCACTGGGTTAAGTGGGAGAGATTTAATGACTAAAGTTGTCGTGGAAAAAAGGCAAAGGGAGTGGTAATGGTTGGAAGACAGAGACATAGTACTTGTCCACACTGAGTCATAAATGCCAGAATAGTGGACATCTCAATCTGAGAGCAGAATCATGAATAACAACATTCAAATTGGCACATGGCAATAAAACAAAATCAAAATGGTAGGCAGAATTCATTCTATGAAGTTGTTGAACTCAGTGTTAGCCTCGAAGACTGTAAAGTGCCTAATTGGAAGATGAGGTGCTGTCCCTTGAGCTTGCATTCAGCTTCTTTGTAACACTGCAGCAGATTGAGGACAAAAAATGTAAATGTGAAAGCAAAATGATTAAAATGATAGCAACTAGAAGGTCGGGGTCATGCTTGCAGACTGAGCTGTGGTTTTCCTCAAAATGGTCAATTTTTAGACTCCTCAATGTCGGTGAGATCACATTGTGAGCAATTAACACTGAATGCAATGTAAATAACTGCTTCACCTGGAAGGAGTTTGGAGCCTTGGACTGACCAGCTTGTAGTTGCTGGGCTTGTCATTCTACTTTTTGTACTATTTGCAATTCTCCAGTCCTCTGACACCATTGCTGAGTCTAAGGAAGACCTGAAAATTATGGCCGGTGTCACTTCAATTGTTCCTCTCAAATGCCTCTTTATGCTTGGATATATCTCATCCGTTCCCGGTGCTTCACCAACCACAGCTTGTCAATTTTAAACCCTTCAAGTGTCTGAATTACATGTTTTCTCACCATCACCTGGGCAGTATGCAAGGTATTCAATTAATATCTTAGCTATGCCGCCTGCCAATATGCATAAATCTCCTTTTCAGCCCTTAATCAGCCCCATTCTATCTTTCACTATGCTTGTCACACTACACTTTTTACATGCCAAGAGAAGACTTTGTGATTTTTTTTCTTCCGTTAAATGGATGTCTCTTTCATAATTTTTGCTTTTCTTACTTGCTTTTTCAATTCCCTTCTGAACTTTCAATATTCAGCTTAGTTTGGCATTGTACTATCCACCTGACATCAAAACACACTTTTTCTTCTTCAGTTTAATCTTTATCTCCATAGGCAGAATCTTATCAGACTCCAGGCAATGTGGATTCTGGCCAGATATGTGGCAGAATTGGGTGAGATGTTTGATGAAACCCTTCTCAGCCTCAAGGTCATCTGGTTGTATCTTGTATGTTTTTCTCAAGTGGTGTGGTGAAATTTTCACTAGGCAGTGGTGAGTTCCAGTTGAGGATCATTATTGCTTGTTAAACACATTTTAACATCCCATTGCATTGTGGATTAGAACATAGAACATAGAACATTACAGCGCAGTACAGGCCCTTCGGCCCTCAATGTTGCGTCGACCTGCGAAACCAATCTGAAGCCCATCAACCTAAACTATTCCATTATCATCCATATGTTTATCCAATGACCATTTAAATGCCCTTAAAGTTGGCGAGTCTACTACTTTTGCATGCAGGGCATTCCATGCCCTTACTACTCTCTGAGTAAAGAACCTACCTCTGACATCTGTCCTATATCTATCACCCCTCAATTTAAAGCTATGGCCCCTCATGCTAGCCATCACCATCCGAGGAAAAAGGCTCCCACTGTCCACCCTATCTAATCCTCTGATCATCTTGTGATCATCAGATTGTGATCTTGCCACACAAATTAGCTGTTAGGAAAATTATATGGCAACCAGAGCAAGTTTTTGGCAGGTTCAACTTGCTCCTTCTTCCAAATGACTGCCATCTTGCATTATGCCAAACTGCAGAGCAGGGCATGACCCATGAGCATCTGACACATATACTTCCATCATGGAATCTGGGACTTCATTTTCAGGGGACTATCACCAACATCCTGGCATCCTCCAATGCACTGGCATTGCACCCTGCAAGGGCAGACTGTTCTAGCAGGGCACACCAGCAACTAGCACTGTACGGCTGCCTTGGGTACAGGTACCACACAGGAACAGGAATTCATTTCATGATGTGACTGTGCTCAGGGGGACCATGCCCCCTGCGTTCCTGGGATCAGGTTCTGGTCAGTTATTTGGCTCCACAGAGGCTAGTCGTGGTGGTAGGTGCATAAATGTGAAAATATCCCCCAGTATAGCATTATACAGTAATTGTATTGTTAATTTACAGAATTGAAATCCTTTAAAACAAGGACAATAAAGTTACATTGATATACAACAAAATTGAACCTACCTAATCATAAGGAAGAAAACCCTCAAGAACAGCATATCTCACCACCACCACCACACACCCCCAACCCCCACACTAAGCCACCACTCCCTGACCTTCTCTCTGCCCTCTTCTCTCAGTAGAAATTCTTGGGAACCTGAAAGTTTCCAAATGTCTGTGTTTCTGCCAACCTTACAAACCCTGAGAAGCTGATCTGTAGCTATTTTCCAAAGACTCAGGTCCAGCTTGATTTCAGTCTGAAATGATGATCTTCTATCAGTCTGAAGCTGTCGGCAGTTCAGCTTCATCGACAAGAAACCCAGTTGACTGAGAGAAGTCATCAAATTCAATCTATTTCTTTCCTGAAAATGTGGTGAAAGTAGGTAGGTAGTAAGTTGTGCAAGGTAAATAGACGTAGGTGTAAATACAGATTTGAAATTGTCTGGTCAGCCATGATCTTATGGAATGGTGGAGCAAGGTGAAGGAGGTGCATGGCCGACTCTAGCTTCTTATTTGTTTGTTTGCGCCTTTGTTTTCAGACCCATGGCCAACAGGGATAATTTTCTTTTGTGGTTTTGTTTAGAAACATAATCTCTACAGAGACTTGTCTTGTGCATTGTGTTAAGGTATCTGTATTTGGGACTTGGGGGATATAGTTTTAATTCTGGTTTATGCCTTAGATGTTAACTAGCATTTGGCATTGTTATAAGAATAAGTTTTTTTTTGTGTTACAATAGATGTATTGTTTTGAGTTCATTAAAATAAGCCTGGTGAAAGTCGCTTTTACTCTGGATCAGAGTACAAAAGGGAAGCAGTTGGCCAACTTGATGATTGATTAAATGAAACATTTATCTGATACTGCAGTTGGTGGAGTAGTGAGGTTTGATTATCAGCCTATTTTTCCTGTCACAGTTGTAACAATATTAAGTATTTATAATGGGGAAGAAAAGCTTTGAGGTGAGATGATGTCTAAGATCTGAAAGAGTTAATGCTGAAGACAGTGTTAAACACCAACATGATGTTGTCATATGGAATTAGGTGGGTGAAGAGGTCTGGATCTCAAAGGAAGTGCACCTAACATCTAGCACTTCCTCATTGTCTTAGTAACATTGTCTGTCATACCAATGTAACTTGTACTTGATTAATATCATGCAATATATTATATCTTGTTTAAACCAAAAGCCATTTATAAGACTATCAGGCAGTTTTCTTCTACCATACTAATTCAGTGAGGCCCTTTTGACCCTAACCTAAAAGGCAGCAAATCTACCAAATGTATCTTTAACCAGGTGAGGATCCACCCATTTATTCTGATATTACACTTGCTTCTTTTAAGTTATGTATTACATTTCCTCTGACTGAGATGTGATATGAATTATCATTTCTTCTCCTTTAGAAACCTAACATTCCCTTTAAGATACTGATCTGCTGTGTCTTTCCACTTTTTTTTATATTTCTCTATTAGATAATATGGTGCAAATCTTTCTCAAAGTCAACATATCTTCTGCTATACAAGATGCATACCATCACAATATGTTTATGTCACATGGAATGCAATGGTTCAAGAAGGCAATTCATCACCTTCTTGAGGACAATTGGGAATGGGCATCAAATATTGGTCTTGCCAGCAATGCCCACGTCTGATGAACAGATAACACCAGATAGATGACGACATTTTTATCACTGTTGTTTCCCATTTCATTTGGGTGTTTAATGTTATCTGTGTACATCTGAATCTACTTTTAGAGGATTGATGAACAACGCAAATGGTTAGATGAGGAGGTGGAGAAAATTCTGCAGCAGAGACAAGCTCTAGCTGAGTTGGAAGAAGACTTGAGAAAAAGGGAAGTTATTGTAGACAAAAAAGAGGCACTATTAAAGGAGAAAAACCAATTGGAAATGAAAAGGTTACGCTCCAGTCAGGTAAGAATATACTTCTCAACTTGTCTGTTGAAGTGGGAGGTCTCAACGTTCGACTGTGCTGATGGGAAAATCATGCAAGATGTCTCACACAGTAGACTTACCTGATGTGCTTGTTCCACAGAAAGCCACAATCCCATCCCAAGTGCAACAGATTTATATGTTATCAGTGAACATTCAAAATATTCAAGTGCATGTTGCCTAGTTAGCTTACAATTGTCAATCCCCGTAACTTAACTAAAATCAGAGGCACAGCTATGTAGCTATTTGATTTGAGTAATGCTAAACCAATAATGGCAGCAAATTTGTGTTCCAAATTACTGTGTCAACCTGCAGTTGCACACAATCGCTTCATCACCTTAGAAATGCTGTTCAAGAAATCTTGAACAAAAACTACCACCTAGTGTAGGAGAGAAGTTGGTAGGTAAGGCCTATTAACTTGCTTTTTCATATCGCCAGATCAAGAAAGTATAGAAAAGGCTCAGAAATAGAGTATCTATCTACACTTAATCAGAAAACGGATACCTAAAATTTTGGAAAGGAGCCAACAGCTATCTTATTTCTTTTAGTAGATTGAAATACTGGCCTAGAATTTGCTGTGTTTTTGATGGTGAACTATCAGCATTCACCATCATTAAACCTCTGAATTAGATCGCAATTTCAGTATATTGTCCTAGTATAGAGTAAAAATTCTTAAGATGCAGTCTATCATTTACTGCTCAGTCACTAGCTGTATGAGTGACCACCACACAGTCCCTGTGGAGATGAAATCCCGCTTTCACATTGAAAATACCCTCCATTGTATTGTATAACACATCGTATTGTGCAACACTATCACCATGCTAAGTGGGACAGATTTCAAACAGATCTAGCAACTCAAAACTGGGCATCCATGAGCAGAATTGTACTCTAGCACAATCTACAACCTCGGTCAGGCACATCCACCACTCAACCATTACCAAGAATCCAGGAGATCAACCCTGGTTTAATTGAGAGTGCAGGTGGGCATGCCAAGATGAGGACCTGGCATACCTAAGAATGATTTGGCATAAACAGCAAATGATATACAGAGCTAAGCTCAGATCAGATCAGATCAGATCTAAGCTCCATGGTCCAGCAACATCCAGTTGTGCATGGTGGTGGGTAATTAAACAAGACACTGGAGAGGGAGGCTCCTTCAAATATCCCCATTTTCTATGATGGAAGACCCCAGCTTTTCACTGTAAAAGATAAAACTGAAGCATTTGCAGCAATTTTCAGCCAAACGTGCTGAGTCAATGGTCCATCTCGACCTCATCCAGTGGTCCCCAGTCTTCTGCCAATTCAATTCATTCCACATGATATCAAGAAACAGTTGGAGGCACTGGATACAAAGGATATGGGCTCAGACAACATTCTGACTATAGTACTAAGGACTTGTGCTCCAAAACTTGCTATTCCATAAGCCAAGCTCTTGCAGTACAGTTACAACACTGGCATCTACCTAACAATGTGGAAGATTGCCCACGTATGTTGTGTACACAAAACCAGGACAAGTCCAACTTGGCCAATTACCGCAACATTAGTCTACTCTTGGTCGTCAGTAAAGTGATGGAAAGTGTCATCAACAGTGCTATCAAGTCTCAGTTTGGGTTCTGACAAGGCCATTCAGCTTCTGACCTTCTTGCCCATGTTTGAACCAAGGGTGTAAAAGAGCTGAATTCCAGAGGTGAGACAGCTTTTGACATCAAGGCCACATTTGTGTTTAGCATCAAGGAGCCCTAGCAAAATTGGAATCAATGGGTATCAGAGGGCTAACTCCCTGCTCATTGGAATCATTCCTGGCACATAGGAAAATGGTTGTAGTTGTTGGAGGTCAGTAATCCCAGCTCCAGGACATCTCTGCAGCAGTTTCTTAGGCTAGTGTCCAAGGCCCAACTATCCTCAGCTGCTTCAACAATGACCTTCCTTACATCATCTGGTCAGAAGTGGGGATGTTCGCTAATAATTGCACAATGTTTAGTCCACATTTAAATGAAACAAGATCTGGACAATATCCAAGCCTGTCCACCAGCTACAAGGCACGTAAGGAGTGTGATGGAATACTCCCAACTTGGCTGGATGAGTGCAGCTCCAAAACACACAAGAAGCTTGATACCATCCAGGACAAATCAGCCTGCTTGATTGGCACCACATCCAGAAGCATATTTTCTCTCCACCACCGATGCTCAGTAGCAGCAGTGTGTACTAACTATAAGATGCAGTGCAGAAATTCGCCCAAGAGCCTTAGATAACATCTTCCAAACACACAACCGTTTCCACCTAGAAAGACAAGGAGCACCATGACGTGCAAGTAATTTTCCAAGCCACTGACCATTCTGACTTGGAAATGTATCACCATTCCTTCATTATTGCTGGGTCAAAATCCCAGAATTCCCTACCTAAGAGCATTGTGAGTCAACTTACAACGTGCGGACTGCACCAGTTCAAGAAGGCAGCTCACCACTACCTTCTCAATGACAACTAGGGATCGGCAATGTATGCTGGCCAGCCAGCGATGCCCACGTCCCACAAGTGAACAAAAAAAAACTTCCCATAGCCAGCAATTGAAAAATTAATGATGTGAAGATAACTCATTTCTGCTCTATATCATTGTTAGGCCTTGTTCAATATAGTGTTATTGTTTTTAATAGAAATTTAAGGTAATAATTGCTGAACAACTATTGTCACATTGGAATAGTTATTTTAGGAATATTGCTAAATGTCTTATGATTAATTACAGATTTTTTAGAACTGTTGTTAATAATTTTTAAGAGTACGCAAGTTTTTTCATATTTCAGCTTCTCCTTAGCCTTATGAATGTTTCATTCTTTATTTTGTTCTCTGTTAAATTCTTAAGTCATTTAATTCTTAGTGTTTATGATTTCTTGATTGACTGTCTGTGAGACTTCTTCAATGTAATTTGCTGAATGGACAGCTTAATGACATCACTGAAGCACAACCAATACTAGAAATCCTTATTAAATTACACTTCAAGCTATTGCACATCAAGAAAGATAACATTAACTTTCACTCACTTGCTCAGCACAGCTTTCATTGAGTTTAGTAATGAGCACTTTGCATCATTACTAATGAAAAACCTGAGCCAAAATCTTTGAATATGAACGTTACTAGCCTAGATACAGTGCTAGTTCTGATACAACTATTGAACTATTCATTAAATAATCAGTTCTGGATAATTTTTCGATTTTAATTTTAAAGTTATTACATTGAAATACCACAGATTTGAAGTAAAATTAAAATGTCAAACATCCTTCATTTCATTAATTTCAGCATAAAATTGCATGAATTTAATCAGCTCACTGTATTAATTAGGGTTTTAGTAACTCCTGACCACAACTCTACAAATCAATATTGTGATATAGCTGTGTGGCTTAATCTATTTTAATATAATTTATTTCAGAGTTCCGATTTGAAATAGTATTGTGTGAGTTTTTGTCTGTGTGTATGAGAGGGCTTAATGATTAATAATGAAGAAATGAGATACTTCAGAAAAAGTTAGAAGTAGGTTATATCAGCATAAGGGCTTTAGTTGGAAAATTCCAGACAAGAAGTGTTTGGTTCAGATGCTTAGTGGTTATTCAAAGCTGAGAAAGTCTAAGTTCAGTTATGTGAATACACAAGGATGAAACTCTCAAGACTAGGACTTGAAAGAAACAATTAAATTAAATCTTAGATGTGATACAGGAGCAGATGTTTTCTACACCTCACAGTATATAATGTGATGTAATGGTGTTGAATTAAATGGGATTGTATTTTTACAAGCATTTCAAAATCATTCAAAGTGTGTTATCTATAAATAGCTTGGTTTATTCTAGTTTACCTTCTTTTATTTGCATAATAAATTCCTGTTGCATTGCTTGTTTGTGTCTCAGTGTGAGACCACCTCTTTAAATAAAAAAAATCTGCCAAGTCAGATTTCAGACTGAATCTGATTTGTCCAGTAATAACATCAACTAGGATCATAATGATATCGATTATTTATTTTCAGGCTTTGAACAAAGACATTTTAAATTTATCCACTCGTTTAAACACAATAGAAAGAGAATTATCAGACAAAAGCACTCAACTTCAGAACAGTACTACAGAAGAAAGAAAAACCATTTCACAAGAGATGCAAGTACTTCAACGGGAAAGAGCTCAACTGCTGAAAAGAAGACACTATCTGGATGAAAAATTAGAGCTTGGAAATGTTCTGTCACCCGAGGTATATTCATATCTTTACTCTTTGTTTTAAAACTTGTTTATTACATAGTTCTGTAGTAATGTGTTTGGGTGTATGTGAAAGTCACTGGAAATTTCAACTGATCCAGACTTTGCAACACCATAAACAATTCCTCTTAATTTCCTAATATTCTACAATCTTGAAACACACTATAGGTGGAATATTCCCAGCCCTGTATGATGTGGGCAATAGTAAGTCAGTTGCTTAAATATAGTGAGTATAGAAAAATGTGATTTTCAATGTCATGGAAAAGAAGTCTGATTTTTCACAATGTATTATCGGTGAGACAACAATTTCACTAATGAGATGTTTAGAAGGCCTATTTGCGTCATTTGTATCCCATTATTACTTTATCTCATCTCATTTATATGCAGTTTGCTATTTTCAGTGATGAGAAACTCAACAGCAACAATTCGCTACATGAACATTGGAGCGGGAAACTGACAACTGCAATTCACAGGTGCTTTCCAGTATTAGAGTTTCCATCTTGGCTAGCATTCCCCAACATCTCCAGATCAGTGTTCTCTCTTATTTTTTTTCTTCTATGTCAACCTCCAAGGTCTGTACGCTGCAGTGACTTCTAGAACTCTAAGTCAAAACACCATACACAGAATGTTGAAGTGGCTATGCACACGCACAGCTGCGCAGTGTAGGAAGCATATTGCTCAGGACATGCTACATGAGCAGCGATCATCTGTCAGTGTTTCGTCTGAGCTGTGTGACTGCATGCATGCATAGACACACCAAGGTTCCAATGTGTGGCAGTTGGTGTAAGCACATCTGTTTCCAGAAGTCACTGCCACACAACCAGAAAGAAAATTAGAAGGAATGCTGCCAACTGCCTCCCTCCATGTTTGGAGTTTGGCATTGGCAATGTACCAACCTGACCACAGGGACAGGCACCCAACTCCTGTATCAGAACAAAGTGCATCTCAAGGTTCTTCCCTTGCTTTCATAGTACTTATTCATGTTTCAGGTACCTGGATGCTGAGAGCGTCACTGCCTTGCCTTTTAGCACAGATAGCTAAGCAATTTGTCATGTTTAGCAGTAATGAACTGTCAAAGGGACTATAGTAATTCAAGGTACTGGTCCTTTGTCAGTCAGAAAAGCTGGTGAGTTGTCTCAATTGAGAGGGTGGGAAGTGCAGAAGGCAGGAAGGATTGGGGGTTTGGGGAAGGGGCGGATTAGAGTCTTGAAGGAAGGTGCTGCATTCAGTATTGAGAGTGATGGGTTATGCATCTTGGTAGGAAGTTGGTTCAATGGCAGAGTTAGAATGAGTGTGCAGTAGCACAGAAAAGATGGTGGCACTTACCTTTGTAGAGCACAGACTGTCATGAAACTTCTTGCGGCTTTGCTATAGATGTGGTGTGAACACTGGAAGGTCCTGGCACTGGTAAGCATTTTGCCCCTGCTGAACACAAGATAGTGTAAGAGTGGCACAATGAAGGTGTGATGCATACTTGACGAGGTGAGTGGCCGAAAATTGCAAAAGATAACTCACTAGACCATATGGAGAAAAAGCTTCCAAGAAACTCTGCAAAATTGACACTTAGCTGATGAATGATAAAATTCAGCTCTGTGTATTTCTTTCTTTCCAGTATATCTTTCAAATGAAGCAGTTTTGGAGAGCAGGGATAACTAGGAATCAGCATAATTTAGCCCTCATTTTAAGATCATCGTTCTGTCCCTATTTTTCTATTGCTATTATAACTTCCCATGTTGGCATGAATAATGGAAACTATTTGCATAAACTTGTCATACTATAATTACACTTTCCATACACTTGTGGTACAGCAATTTAACAATTGCATTGTTTGTTATCAATGGACATTGGCATTTAGAATGAAAAGATTGACAACGAATATGTAAAGCTGCAAAACCTTTAACATAGGTAGATGGTATGTACTGGAATAGCTGGAGAATGTTTAAATTGTGAAGTTGTCATGGAAGAAAAGACTTAAAATTGAAAAGAAAATTACTGGAAACAGCAAAAATGGCCAGAGACCTCAAGCTGACCGTATGAAGACATTCCTTGGCAAAGTCATAACGACGACATCGCAATTTGATTATCACTTGCACTGGCACATACGTATTCTTTTCATCGACATAGATTATTCTGCTAATCACCTGTAGATTATTTTGAATAGGATTGTTGTGTTAAAAAAAAGTCTCCATCTTTTAACCCTCTTTTTGAACATCAATCATTAACAGAGAATTGTTACTTTATTGGCAGCTATTGCCAAAATGAAAACTCCACAACAAATGATCCATAAAGGGGATTAACATCAAGACTGTAATCCCAGCATTCATAAAAGAATCTTAAACATACACCTACTCATCATTTTCTATGTTTCTGAAACTGATATGACCATTTTTAAAAATACTTTGTTGCACTTTTTCTAAATAACACACTGTGAAAATAAATAGATGAAGTTCACAATTATCATCTAAATAATTCAAATGCATTATTATGAACATTGTGAGTGTGTTTACAATGTGAATTCAGGTCAGAATAAAACTATATTTTTGAAGTATCCAGAATATCTATTGAACTTTGTTGGACGTTTCTAAGCTTAATAAGAAAGGCATTTGGCAAAATGAGGAGGAATGTCTGCATCCTGCTCTCTCTTAATATTGAAATGAACTATCCACAAAGTAGAGCCCTGCAATTTTACAGGTATACAGCGCTCTTTCGCTGTTATATTCAGTGCAAGATGCAAAAAATTGCGTAACCAAGAATTTTAAATGGCACAAAATTGTAAGCGTTCTCAATAAATTGAAATTAGAAGTTGAAAATATTCCTTATACAGAACCTTAAATGGCACACAATTGTAAAACGTGTATATGAATTGAAAGTAAAAATCAAAACTAAATTACATTTTAGTTATATAAAGAATTGATTTGATGAACTCATGATGAGGCAGAATTATTGTCAAATCATCATACTAAATCATTGATCATCATACCTGTGCTGCTCTTTGAAAGAACTATCCAGTTAATCTCCTTACCGTCCTCTTTGCTCATTATACTTCAATTTCTTTCAAGTACATATCCAATTCCTTTTGAAAGTTACTATCAAAACTGTTTTCACTCATCTTCAGGTTTAGTAACCAAGGTAATCTAGCAGGATTGAGACACATTCAACAAGTAATCACATGTGTCTTATTTCTCAGGAAGAGCGAATACTCTTCCAGTTGGAGGAAGGCATTGAAGCTCTGGATGCTGCCATAGAATACAAAAATGAAACTATTAACTGTCGCCAACATTCATTGAGGGCCTCAGATGGTAGCCTTACCCAAAATGAGGCAAATGTAATGTTTAGACTGGGTGCTTTATCGGCTGCTGAGACAAGAGTCCTTCTATGCAGATACTTTAATAAGGTAAAGCCCTACATTCCTTACATCACTTCCATAACTTTTTATGTATATAATGTGATTTGTTAAATTGAAACAGCATTTAATTGATAACAATTTGTGTACTATGTTAAAAATGTGAATTAAAATAGGTTATGAAAAGCAGGATCAATCTAATCCAATATTGTGTAGTCTTGACATGTATTCTTTAATTTTAACAAGACATATCTTTACGAACTAAAAATGTGGTTCACTAAATTTTGGTAGCTTTTGAACTAGTAGTGATTCTGTTACACCTATAGTACATTGCACAATACTGAATTGCCAGCAATGAAGACAAATTATATGCTGCACTCATAAGTAGCAGGGAGATGGTGGTTCACTATGCAAGTGCAACTTGTTGTCTTGCAGATAGATTATTAAACTGAGGTCCCATCCACTATTTCCACACTTCAGATGGATGCTAAGCATCACTAGGCAGTAATCACGAAGGAGTAGGGAGTCCTCCAGGTGAACAAGCCAAATTCCTCTCCCAAAGGGGGAAGAAAGGTCACCATTTTGTTGCTGTTTGAGATTCTAGTGTATGTTGACTTTTTATTTCTGTCTTTCATAATAATCACTACAGTTTTGGATTTTGGCTACTGCTGGAGCCTTAACCAGAGATGGGTATCAGCTAAAAATAACCCTAGCTCCAGCTTCCCATAGGCAACTAGGCTAGTTTAGTTGTCTGCAGCCAGCTCCTGGCGTGAGGCCAGCAGGCCAATACTCCAACAAAAACAGAAATAGCTGAAGAAAGTCAGCAGATCTGGCAGCATCTGTGAAGATAAAGCAGAGTCAATGTTTCAGGTCCAGTGCGCAGAACTGAAGAAGGGTCACTGAACCCAAGACATTGACTCTGACTCTGACTCTGCTTTGTCTCCACAGATGCTACCAGACCTGCTGAGTTTCTCCAGCTATTTCTGTTTTTGTTTCAGATTTTCAGCATCCATAGTTCTTTGTTTCAGTTTAGGCAAATACTCCAGGCAGGTTTTGAGGCCCACACTGCATTGTTGAGTGCTGTGACAGTCATAGACTGCCCAGTAGAGGGTGTCCTACCCACCCCTCACAGTGGTCTCTTGGCTGAAAAACCAGTTTATACTTCTAAATTTTAAAAAGTTGCAAAGTGCACCTCCATTTTTTGAAGTATCCTCTCCCTTATTACAGCCTGCTGCTGTTTGCAAGCCTCTGATTGACCTCCAGCTTCAAGAGCTTGTCCGCCACCCCTTAGTTGGATAGCGAGCCCACCCTTTAGTTATTAATTGCCCTGCTGGGTAAAATCACGATGAATGACTGCATCCTACACAGTGTGGATATTTGATGCAAGTTTCAGTTTGACAGAGGGTTTCATAAGTACAGAGGGAACATCCTGCTCTACATTTCAAAATAATTATTAAATGTGTAATGCCTTACAGATTACTAAAATATGTGATCTGACATCATAATGTAACTTTTTTGCTTTTTCATTGTTGCAGTGCAAGAAAAAAATCAGCAAAATGCTTTGGCCACAAAGGAAGTTAGAAAGTAATCATAGCAAGTACAAAGCTTCTATTATTGCTCTGACAACCAGGAAATGCCCATTAAATGTATTTGAAGTTTTGAGATTTTAGGCAGAATGTATTTGTTCTTTGGTGACATGGTTCTTTGGTCAATATCCATTATAAGCTTTTTAAATGTACATGCTAGTTTTTTTTATATTTTAACTTTGGTAGGTGGTTAGCCTACGTGAGACTGAACGCACTTTGCAGGTGCAATGTGCAGAAATGTCTGTGAAGATAACTGAACAAGAGAATGTAGTCCATGAATTAGAATCTGCAGTGGAACGTTTATCAATGGAGATAGACAGACGGCTAACTCTGCAACAGAAGGAGCATGAACAGAAGATGCAGTTGGTCTTACAGTACTTTAAAGGTACTTGGGTCTATGCTGTTCAAATATTGTTATTATGCTTGCAACACAAGTTACAGAGATGTACGCAGACAGCACACGATTTTGCCGAGAGTTGACACATTTCCAGGCATGTTGGTATTCAATATAGTCAGTTCCCTGTGGTATTATACGAACAGGGCTGAATTTTATGGGGCTTGCAGGAGTGAGCTGGGAGGCAGGGAGATGCTGAAAAATTTGGAGACCAGGCAGCAGATTGTGGGGCTGTCACCTTCCTGTCACCATAGCATTCTCCCAGCATGGAGGAAGATGGAGGATGGCCCTCCAGCCCAGAGGCTAATTTTGATACTTCAGGACCAACTAAGAGCCTGGTGAGTGGGCTATCCTACAGACAGACACGGACATGCACAGAAAACACTAAGACTAACTGTACACCACTCTTCTCTTACTGGCACTCCTTCAAATGGCATATATAGAGGCACAAGCTGTGACAGCAGCTCATTAACTGCTGGAATGCCATATCCTAGGCTCCCTAAATAGCCCCAACTTCACCCACTGTTGCTCCAATGATGTCCAGCCCAATTTTAGAGAATGATGGGCATAATTTTATAAGGGTCAGAGTAACATAGGTTGTGGTGCAATTTACGGAAGCTTAAGCCAACAACTGTGGTAAGGCCTGTCTTGATTCTGACACCATCTTCCTCTGCATTTTGTGCTTTTCAGAAGTATTCTTACTAGGCAGTGGCAAGTTGTCAAATGACTGGTATTCACACTTCGTAAATGCTTCTTATGCCACTGATTTTATTAATATTCGATTTTTATCTTACCAAAGTCATTGAACCAGCAAGATGTCAGGCAAACCTGGTAAGGAAAACACATTGGGTATTTGGCAGATTCAGCTCACCGCTTGTTCTGAACAATTTCCATGCTGGAAACTGGGTAATACCATTTCAGGACACAATCAATGGGCACCAAGTGCACACACCCCTCCATGGACATTGACATCCAGCATTTGCCAACCTATCATGACCATCCTGCAATTCTACTGTTCACTGCAGTGTAATCTGGAAGCACAGGTTTGCATCACACCTGCAACTTGTATCGAAAGGCTTCGGAAGGGACAGGCATCCAGCTCACAGACTGGGCTTGGCTGCATCTCAGCAATGCATGCTTGCTTTCTTAATATTGCCTCATTTAGCGCTTATCTGCCTTCTATCGCCATGCCAGTTAACACAATCACAGAATTGACTTGCAGTTCTCAGCCCGTGGTGGACATCTTATCGAAGGTCACTGTGCTATGTCAATTTCACACCTCCTCCATCTACCAGCATCTTGCATGGCAAACAGACTACATGTACAACAAGCAGGCAGCCATGTCTGAAAGTTTTAGGTGAGTAGTAATCATTTAAGTCTTTGGAGGCACCTGTCAGTCAGGGGCAGCCTCTGACACCAGTCCAGAGAATTGGCCAAAGTCAGGTGTCCGGTTGGTGTGTTCACTGTCAAGAAGTTTGTGATTCTTCAGTCCAGGGAGTAAGTCAGTCGTTAGGTCTGTAGCAGCAGGTTTGGGGGCATAGGCTAATGTGGTTAGGGCAATAAAAATGCAACTGTCAGGAGTCTGGGCATGTCTTGCCTGGGTCCTTTCCAGTCATGTCAAAGGCATGGACCACAGTCAGGTTCCTCCACAGAAACTGAGAGGGAAGTTGGTGGGGGTGCAACTGTAGCCATTGCAATGGAATTAAGCCTCGGTGGATTAGTCTTCGGTTCTGGTGTTGCAGGGTCTGGGCAAGGGCGCAGTACAGTTGTGAAGGGGTGGACAGCAGGATAGCAAGAGTGGTATATGGTAAAGCATGGGATGGTTATAGTTCAGGAAGAGGGTCTTCAAGGTAGGGGTCAGTGAGTGACCACACCTGGCACGATCACTTTCTATGCCAGGAATGGTGGAAGAAATGAGCAACTGCAGACACTGGTTAGGTAGGAACTTGGGGAAGGGTGAAGCCTATGGGTTTAACAGGATGAGCTACTAACTACCAGAAGAGTGTCCACTGTCACTTTGCATCATGCTGGAAATCAAAAGTGCACAATGGTGGATAAAATAGCTGTGATCAGAGTTGGTGAGTTAAGTGACAGCCTGGTCACAGTGCTTTTAAAGAGGTTTAAAACATAGGCCATTAGGCCCAAGCAGTGTGCAGCATTCAGGCTGCCTACTCCCTGCACATCATATAACATAGACCTTCTCTATATATTGAACCTACCCAGCACAGAAATTGCAGGACAACTCTTTGACATCTGCACCTTTGTGCACAGAGCAAGCCAAACATGGGAGTTATTAAATGAGAAGGGACAGAAGTGTCTTTGTGACCCAATACCATGTGTACACATTGTTCCCCATTTCTGGGTGGTGCAGTAGTCTCTCAGTGTAGATCTCTATCCATGGAGACTCATCTGTAGCAATGAAGTCCTGTCAAATCTTGTGAAATTGCATTTAGCATCTACACAGAGAAACTCACAACCATATGCGAATAACACCAAGAACATTTATGCTGAAAATGATAGTCACGCACAAACCTTTTCCACTCATGCCACCAAAGTGCCCTGAATGGACTTTTCTCTTTCTCTTACTTTCACTATGTCTTGGTGTAGTCCCTAGTTCCGCAGTTCGGAAGTGGAGCCCATTGATCTGGGAGGTTCGAACAGGTGACCCAGCAGACACTTTTGTGGCCAAAGATGCCATGGGTCTTCTTGCCAGAGGCATGTTAATCCGTCTCAGCTTGAACTTCTAAGTCAGATGGACACAGGCAGTGTGGAGGTGGAAGGTCAGGCCACCTCTACGATGTCTTGTGTGGAAAGTGTAGAAGAGTCTTGTGAAGACAGGGCACCTGGATTGGGGTCAAGGATGCCAGACTCCCTCTGTCGTTGAACCTTTGGTCCTGAGGACTAGTGTGTGGCTGATGGAATGCAGGTTTGTGTGCCTTTCCAGAATTGCCTGACCTGGCTGCCAGCATGGAAACTGCCAACCTGCTAATGGAGGAAACCAGATGGTCACAGGATTTGCTGCACTGCTGCAGCTTCTCGACCATGAGGGCCCTTGCACCCCATATGCCTGTCCCTGTGCTGCTCGTCCCTGTGCATTTGGATGAAGTACCGCATTGTGTAAACCACAGGGTTCTCTCCAGCACGGGACTCAGCTGGTGGCTGGTTCTCAGTAGTCCACCTGGGCCCTTTTATCCTCGGCCAGCTGCAGAGCTGTCACAGTGAGATGTTCGCAAGATTGTTTATGCACACTCTATGTTTACGTTTCTCACTGAGGCGTTGGTATCTGGGCTGGTGGGGGTTTCAGGAGTCAGCCATGCTGATGCTTCCTCTGAGGCCTCCATACCTCATTCTTAGAGGTTGAAGACAGAGCTTCTGGGGGAGTCAGGAGTATCTCCACAGATCTCGAGGGTAGGCTAGCAAAACATCCAAGGCAAAAAAGAGAGAAGTTATCATGACCAGTAGTTAGAAGTGGTATGCAATGACTGAGAGTGACAGCATGATTAATGTGAGAGTTGCAGCTGAATGAAGATTCGTACTTACTTGTTTGGTGGGACATGGGTGTTTCGGTATCCCTGTCAGGAGTGGTGCTAGTCTTCTGTGAAGGCCAAGATTCTCTCCCCATCAAATGTCAGGCACCCATCCACCTGCAAGGGCTCTCTCTGCCCTGTCATACGCTGTCTTCTGATGTAATAAGGAAAAGCAGGAGAATTAAATGAAATCACGATGAGTGCCATGACTTTAGTGCCCGTGTGGAAGGACTGAGGAGCAGAACAGAGGATATGTAAATTTATTGGTGTGGGTGATTAGGAGTAGGGGAGAGTGAGTGAGGGAAGGTGTTGTACATAATAGTGAGAGTGGCAGAGCATGAGCCTTCGTGGGGGGTGAGAGCAATAGCAGAGATAGAGAGAGTAAGTGTGAAGTGACAGAGGGAAGTCTGGTAAAGGGAGTAGGTCACTAAGCTTTCTACATTGCTGGCCGTTCCTCCAAATGCTGGAGCCGGCTCTGACCCGATTGACAACCTAGGACCAGGCTGGTAGGAACTGCCGGCATGAACTCCTTTGCCAATACTCAGAAAGAGGATTCCTCTCCTTTGCATTGCCCCATCCTCCAGGGCCTCCAGGTCCCTGTTGAAGAAACACAGTGCCATCTTCCCATTCTCTGCCATGTTCTGACTCTGTCCATCAACAAGCCAGGGTAGCTTCGCAACGTAAATGCTCATCCAGGTGCACAGCACCCTTTTAAGATGGATGCACCAAGGATGTCAGTCTTTGGGAAAATATTCACTGAGTAGCAAGTTGTGGGAATGATGCACAGTAAAATGAGTGGAAATTGGACGTGAGAGATGCTATAGGTACAGTATAGGTAATTATTGCATCAAGTTTGGTAAGATAGGTGAGAAAACTTACTAGGCCTCACAGCAAAAAAAAGTCCAAAAAAAACTTGATGCAACTCAGACTTAGCCAAAAAATTGTAAGATTCAGCCCATGGTCTCTCTTACCTGCCTCTACTATCTTTGTATGGATGCCACTTGCACTATCTCAGCTTTAGATTTTCTTTTCACTTTTTTTTTATCCTTAACTCTCTCTTTTTCCAGCTTCTGTCTTGGTGGTCTTGTCCTTTTCTTTATTTTTGGTGGGAGATGGTGTTGGAGAGAATGGCACCTCCAGTGACTGCAGGTTTCATTTGGGTTGGAGGCTGTGCGGGTAAGTTGCTTTTCTTCCCATTCCTTACCCTCCTCAAATCATTTGTATTTTCTCCATCCTTTCCCTTTGTACCAACCTCTTCACTCCCATCAGATTCTTTTTACCCTACTGAGCTATGTGCTCGACGCATCAACCTACCCCACCCTCCCCCATTCTGCCCTGACGCCTTCCTCATCTTTACAAGTACTTGTTATACTCACTCAAAAAAAGAATTCAGTAGCGATAGGTCAGTGGCTCTTTCATCCTATTTTTCTGCTCTCCTATCTTCTCCAACCCCTATTATCTTCG